ATCCCGAAGAATAAAAATCAAACAAACAGGCCGGGCGCGGTGGCTCACGCCTGTAATCCTAGCTCTCTGGGAGGCCGAGGTGGGCGGATTGCTCAAGGTCAGGAGTTCAAACAGCGCCTGAGCAAGAGCGAGACCCGTCTCTACTATAAATAAAAGAAATTAATTGGCCAACTAATAATATACAAAATTAGCAGGCATGGTGGGTGCATGCCTGTAGTCCAGCTACTTGGAGGCGCTGAGGCAGGAGATTGCTTGAGCCCAGGAGTTTGAGGTTGCTGTGGAGCTAGGCTGACGCCGACGGCATCCACTCTAGCCTGGGCAACAAAGCGAGAGCTCTGTCTCAAAAACAAAAAAAAAAAAAAAATCAAACAAACACAAATCCTAAAATAGTAAGTGAACTCAGTAAGGCTGCAGAATATAAATAAAATCACACAAATCAATAGTAGTTTTTATATACTTGCAGTGAATATGCAGACACCAATTTTAAAATACAATACATTTTAAGTTTTTAATACATAGAGAGAAACAGGCACAGATAAAAAAAAAGCTATTTACAGGATTTGTATGTTGAAAGCTAAACAAAGCTGATGAAGAAAATCAAATAAGACAGACATTGATATTCCAATCACATAAAAAGATGGAATATAATAAAGATACTCAGACATCTATTCTCTCCATTGATATGCAACTTTAACTCAATTCCTATTTAAATTGTGTAAGAGGTTTTGTACATATACAACAAACGCTTATTCTAAAGTATATATGGGAGGCAAGGGAACTAAATTAAACAAAGTTTGAAAGAATAAGTGGGGAGGATCATCTCACTTAATTTTAATGTTTATTAAATACTACAATAATTTAGACAGTGTGGTTTTGGTGGGGGATACACACTACCTAGATTAATGTAGCAGAATAGTAACTCACAGAAATAGCTGCCAATGGAATTTTGACAAATATGCAAAATTATTTAATGTAGGAAAGAATCTTTTTGACAAATGATGTTGGAGAAATTGGACACTGATGGGGGGAAAATAAACTTCAAACTAATTGTAATACATTATACAAAAATTAACTCAAGTGGATCATTGACTAAATTTTGAATATAAAATGATAAGTCTTTAGACAAAATAAAATTTTGAGGATCTGGGATGAGGCAAAGAATTCTTAAACTTGATATAATATACTAACAACAAAAAAATGATAAATTGGAGTAGCACAGCTACAGAGTGGAGAAAATACTTCAAAGTCACATACTCAACAAAAGATTAGTATCTAGAATATTGAAAGTACTTTAAAAACTCAATAATAAAAACAGACCAAAGAACCATTTAGAATGGCAGGAATCACGAAGTGATATTTTACAAAAGAGTATACAATGACAAATAAGCACATGAAATGTGTTAACATCATTAGCCATAGGAAAATCTAAATTATACCACAATGAGACCTCAATATACACTTGTCATATTGGCTAAATAAGAAATAGTGTTCTAACTCTAGACTGATCATTTTTTTTTTTTTGGCACCAAACTTCTGTTGTAGTCTCTTCTGGTTTTCCTTTGACAGTGCATGATTTTCTTTGGTATCTTTCCGAATTCCAGTATTATTTTAGATATTCTTATTTAGTGGTGAGTGTCCCAATCATAACTATAAAGATAGAGGCAAAAAGGTAGGGCATTACGATTTGGTGTGGAATAGGAGTGTGTAATCCTGTGACATGATCATGGAATTTCTCCACTCTGCAGAGGGATAGGCCATCTCCAGCTGGTGAGCACATGGGATCCCAGCATGTGTAGTCGTCCAGAAGAACTAAGCTCTATCCTTTTTAAGTTTAGAAATACAGATAACGAGGAGGAAAGAAAGACAAGGAAGAAAGAAGAAAGAAAACGAGCAAAGAAAGAAGAAAGAAAAAAAGAAGAAGAAAGAACGAAGGAAAGAAAGAAAGAAAGAAAGAAAGAAAGAAAGAAAGAAAGAAAGAAAGAAAGAAAGAAAGAAAGAAAGCAAGCAAGCAAGCAAGCACAAAGACAAAATGTTTTATGCATGCAAGGGGAATGGCAATTGTTAAGAAAAACATTTTTTTTTCTCTTTATAATAGAATTATATTGACCAAGAGGGAAGTTAATATTCCCCCTGGAGGAGAGTTAAGATGATTTTCCCTAGGACTCCATCAGCCTGGCTTCCAAAAAGAAGGTATGAATGACCTTGGTTGAGCTATGGAACCCTGGGAGCTCCTGAATATGGCATGGAAACCTGTGGCAGCACTCACCTCCATGTGATGGTGAGAATGACTTCAAGTTCTCAGTCTGGCAAATGTTCCCATAGGCAAGGGAAAAAATCGACAGCCAGCAGACACTAGCAAAATTAGAACATGGGCACTGTACTTCCCCTTACTTTCTCCAGTATGATTATGTTCCTTTGCTGCTTCTGCCATTAATTGCCACCATCCCTGCCTTTGCCGCTGCTAGAGACCAGGAAGTTTAACCATCATCACCAGTGATGCACCTTCTTTCCCAGAGGTGCTTGAAACCAGGAGGGCAGAGGGAAAGCAGATATCAGAGAGCCAGACTTTGTGGGAAAGAGGAGCCCTTACACACATGGATCAAGACTGTGATAAAAGAGGAATTTATATAGAATGAAATGCTCTGAGTTGTAGCATCTTGTTCCCCCTCCCCCTATCCAATCTTTACTTCTGGAATGTTGGATGTCTGCCTTCTGTTGGCAGTTCTTCTTTCTGTCTCTGGCTGTGTTCAGCCATGACTACTAACAATGTAGGTTCAGAAGAAATTTTTGTAAAAGTCTATTAGAGAGAGGGAGAGTGGCGGGGGCAGAGACTGATCGAGATGCCAAGTGCATCTGGTCCTTCCACCCAATACAGCTGTGTGCAATGATTACCTGTGATCGCTGAGCCCATCTGTCAGTCAGTTGGCTTAGTTTACACTAACCATCTCAATGTGTTATGATCTTACTTTGATCTGTGATCATTTCAGATGAACCTGAGTCCTATTTTTTCTTTTGCTATAGATTTTGCCCCTCCAAATACTACTACAGGTACTACTAACTTTACATAGTATTTTACATAGTCCTTTAAACTTAATTCTCACAACAACTGGATAAGATGGAGAGGGTAGGCATTATCTTCGTTTTTTTCATGAAAGGACATTAAGGGGACGTTAAGTGGTGCCACTTTACTCAGTGTCCAATGCTTATTCCAATTCTCTATGCTGTTGTCTGCTGCTGGTTGTGTATGTGAGTTAGTAACTGTTTTGCTTTGAAGGCTGAGCCTGAATCCTCCTAACGCTAAGATGTAGGTGTTATCGGCTCTAAAGTGCTTTTGGAAAGGCTACAGTCAATCAAAAATACCTCTTTAAACTTACTTATTCCAAAACAATTGCTATTCTGGTATGGGCCCCACAATTTGGTTTTCTTGTCTATCTTTCCCATTAGGAGAAACTGTGAGCTTGGGGGAAAAATACCCATGGATAATACATCTGATAAAATTGAAGTGTCAAAGGCTGAGCTTATGCTGAAACTCTGTTGTGCATAGTGTTATAGCCCAGAGGTTTGCAACGTTTTTGGCACTAGGGACTGGTTTCATGGAAGACAATTTTTCCATGCACGGTGCTTGAGGAATGGTTTCAGGATGATTGAAGCACATTATGTTTATTGTGTAGTCAAACCTCTCTGCTAATGATAATCTCTATTTGCCGCTGCTCCCTAGTTCTAGCATCACCACCTCAGATCATGAGGTATAACATTCTCATAAATAGTGCAGAACCTAGATCCCTAGCATGTGCAGTTTACAGTAGGGTTTGTGTTCCTATGAGAATCTAATGACTCCTCTGATCTGACAGGAGGTAGAGCTTATGTGGTGATATGAGCAATGGGGAGTGGCTGTAAATACAGATGAAACTTACCAGCTCCTTGCAGCTCACCTCCTGCTGTGTGGCCTGGTTCCTAACAGGCCATGGAAAGGTACAGGTCTGCAGCCCAGGGGGTAGGAACTGCATTTGTAGCCTTTGGAAATATCACAGTGTACTAAGGCTCTTGTAAAGCAATCATTCATATGACAGTGACATCTGAGCTTGCTCTTTGTCTAGTGACAGATCCAAGTTCTCTTTCCATGGGTTGTGGTAGAGACTCCCCAGGGAAAGGGTAAATATTTTGGCCTGGTTTGCATCCTGGCCCCATCACTGACTGTATGGCGTTGGTGCAGTTATTGAATATTTGTGCTAATATTTCCTCATCTGCAAAGTGAGACTTGCAATAATACGTAACACATGGTTAAAAGTATTGAAGACGATAGTACTTAGAACAATAGCTAGGCACTCAATGCATTAGCTATATTATTAACAATGCTTGGCTTCTGACAGCTGCTTGGAAAATAATTTTTTGAGCTCATTTTCCAAGCTACTGGCAGTATCTATTGAATTTAGGAAAACCATTTTTGATGCTTTTGCGAAATAATTAAATAATATTGTGGACAAGTCAGTGGACAGAAACTACAGTAGAAACCCAACATTATCATCATGGTTTTATGCAGAGAAGAGTGGATTTGAAGTCAGTTAAGATTATAGTTTCACTTAACATCTATGTGTTCTTGGCTGTTTAAATAGCTTCTTTGAATCTTTATAAGATATAAATAATAACATCTCCCCTCCTCCCTGGATGTTATTGCTCAGAGATCATATTCAAGAAATGGCTTTGTATCATATCACAGTAAAAGATTGTTTATTATGATTCATATTTAGCTAAAGCTGAAGGAAAGTCACTTGGTGATGTAATTTACTTTGAATTCTGAAAAATGAACCACACTCCTGTCTATGTAAATTCTAACTTGGAGACTCTATTTCCTATGCTGCATAAAAATCAAGATTTCTCTAAAGACTCACTGACATACTACATTGATTTCTTGAGTATAAAAGGAGGCTCAGGTATATTAAGACCAAGCCATCTATTTTAATGGTTGTGAACTAGAAGGCAGAGGGTATACTTACTGTAAATGTGGTTTTTAATTTTTGCTTGGTTCTTGTCATGTCCCCAACAAGTGACTGAAAAGGGCTGGCATTTTGTGATTCCTTCCTTTCTTCTTTCCTTCCTTCCTTGTTTTCAAGCTTTCTTTTATTGGGTAATATGGAATAGAAAGGAGAATATTTATTCTGGTTTGTAACTTTCTAGAAAGTTACCTATTTTAATTTTGCCATTTGAAAAATCTGTCAGTACATTAACAATTTCTTACTGCGTACCTACTATGCTAAGAGACAAAATGGAAACATAAGAGAGTCCTTATCCTCCAGAACGAAATGCAACCAGCCACAGAGGATAGTCTCATAACATTTAAAGCAAAATTTTCACAGATTACAGATCATGTTTAACCTATTTCATTATAATCATGATGTTACCTTATTAGCAATGGTTTTACTAGCACAAGTTAATGAGACTCAGAGAATCAAGGGACATAAATATTTGATAACTAATGACAAATGTAAGCACTGAGATAAAAGTAGAAACATATAAGAAAGTATAATAGGGGGATAACTAGTAGTCCTGAAAGGAGGATTGTTTGTGTGGTCATGGGAAGACTCCAGCAGGAATTGACTTCAAGAAGGTTATACTTATGCAAATGGAGATGGGTTAGACTGGTGGAACATTCCAGACAGAATGAAATCCATGTTCAAGGATCAGGCAGTGAGAGAACACTTAACTTGTGTAGGGAACAAGAAGCAGCTCAGAATAGCCATGGTGGAGATAACAAGGGTGAGTTGAGGGGAGCAATAAAACTTTAAACTAGTGAAATAGTCATAGATCAAAACATGCAGAGCACTGTAACTTGTGCAAAATGTCTTCGATTTTACCTTAAGGGTAATGAATGGGAATGCATTGAGAGGTTTTGAGCAGAAGAGTGACATGGTTTTAAAACACTATTTTGATTGTAAAATACTGTATTTGCTGATAGAATGTTTGAGAACCAACCTGGCAGGGATATATTTATTTAGGTTAGAATATGGGCATTGCACCTGGGACATGGAGGGATTTAACACTAAGAATTGCTAGGATTTCCAATTTGATAATAGAGAGCAAAGAATACTAAGGAGAGGAAATAGCTTGTGCAAAGGTATAAGAAGAAACAGCATCAGTTCAATGCTGCTGCCAAGGAATAGGGTGCAATATGAGAGAAGGATTTGTAGTAGATGCACTTGCTTCTGGGGTTGGCAGGTGACAATTCTCAGATTGTCTTAATGTACCCTTGGCATTTGTCACTATTAGCATAACAGTATGGTGGGTTGGATCTTGAATGTAGGGGCTGTCAGTAACTTTGCTCTGGGAAGCTAAGGAAAACGGCCTAGCGGAGTGGAGCAAAATAAAGCTTTGGGAGACAACATAGGCGATCTGGGGATAGGGAGAGATGTTCAACCAGAATCAAAATATCATAATAATAAAGAAAATATTAATCACTGGACTACATTGAAATGCATAGTTTATATCCATCAAGAGATATCATTAATGCATGAAAAGAAAAGGCACACAACTGGAGAAGATATTTGCAGCATGTAAACTGATAAAAGACTCACATTTAGAATACATAATAAATGCTTAAAAATCAATAAAGAGACAACCCAATACAAAAATGAGCGAGAGACTGTCTTCTTTTGCTACATTATATTTGTTCATTTCATTTCTCTATAATGTTCTGTTGTATGTAATCTCCATAATTTATGTATTCTAAAGCTGATGGGCATTTGGGAAATTTTCAGTATTTGGCCATTAATATTCCTACTAACATTCTGATACATATGTCTTGGTACATAAGTAAACACATTTGTACAGGGTATATATCTCAGAGCATAAATTAAAAACAGGTCTACTAAACACATGAAAATTTTATTTGTAATAAGGAAAATGAAAATCAAATCTTTATGAGCTTTCATTCTACATTACAATTTAAAAGACCTGCAACACCAGGTATGAGTGAAAATTTAATCCAGAGATAAATGTCTTATTCCACCTGCGGGAGTTTAAGTAGGTATGAAGATTTTAGGAATTAGTTTTGCATTCCCTACTAAAGTTGAGAGCACACATGCCCTTATTTTGATCCTGGGTGAGGGAGTGATTGGAAGAGACTCAAGTGGAATACGAGAAATGTTCTGTTTCTTGACAGTACTGGCAGTTACAAAGATGTTTGTTTTGTCTCAATTAACCAACATATATTTATGTCTTTTTATAATTTCTTAATGTGTTATACCTAAATAATTTAAAACTATAACAATACTTCGCCTTGTAAGAACATTCTCCACTGCGTGCCATTATTTGAGTTCTCAGATTGTACTTAACTTCAAATTTATGGACAGATTGTTGGGTAGATAATGAGAGTTTCTGGGTCTCCTAGGGACAAAAGTGGGTAGTCATGCCCTCATCTTGGTCCTGCCCAGCTCTAATTCTCCATATGTGGAGGAAGAAGGAATACCCTACGAATCTACCAATCAGAACTTGGTGTGCCAACTGCAAAAGAATACAGAGGACTTTATAGCCCACGGGACAAGCTGCATGGGTACCATAAAGTCCAGAAAGTGACCTACAACCCACATGAATAGGTAAGGCTCAGGTCACGTAACTCCCAACTGCCCAATCAAAGTGGCTCCATGGTGACCTCTGAACCATGAGGGAGGTCCCCATGTAGGCATTATAAAATAAGACACAGACCATAGTCAATCTCTCTCTCTTTGCCCTCCCTTTTGCCTGCCCTGCTGTGACAATGGGTCCATTCATCATCCATGGCGTATGTACCATGCTCTGTAAACCTATATCTTGTTCTGGACCTATAATCCTATCTTTCTCTCCTCAATAAATGTCATTTTTTGTGCTTGGCTTGTCTGGTCATTCTTCGGCCACGAGCTTGCCAAAAACCAGAGGTTTCAGACTAAAACCTGACAAGATGAGTTAGCTAACTGGATCAGAAGATCTGCAGCTGAAGTTTCCTATATACCAAGGTTTCCTTTGTAACAACTAATTAAGAAATGTAAAATACTAACAATATTTTAAAAAAACCTAATAGAGAGGACATATAAACATGTTTGTTACTACACAAGCTAACCCTGAAACATTTATTTATTCTTGTGTGACATATTAGTTCAGTTTATATACACTGCACTTAACTATATATATATATATATATATACACACACACACAAACACATACATATATATGTTTCAGTTTTCTTTAATAAAAATCTGAAATGATTATTAATGCATTGCTTGGTAGGCAGAATTTTCTCAGAGGTGACTTTCATAGATGAAAATATTGAAAGGGGTTTCTTGATTGTGAAAAACTCTAAATTTGGGGACTGGTGATCTCTATAGTTTTTCTTATGCTAAAAATTCTCAATTACTCCTCAGACTAGAGATGGTGGGAATTGAGGCAGAGATATGTATAGTGATAGTATAGAGTAATAATAGAAAAGTATTAAGAGACCTATTACAAATAAAGCCAAAGAAAAGTTATCTAATTTACAGGTAATTATTTCAAGAACATAATTGTTGTAAAACTGAATGCATGCTAATTAATTTAGCAAATTCTTTCTTAAAGCTGTAAATTCTACACATTTTTAAAAATTAAAGTGTATTCAGAAAACTTTAATGAAAGTTGCACACATTTCAACAAAGCTGTTGCTTAATTTGCACAAAAAAATTCCTCCAGGTTAGCACAATGGAAAAAAAAAAAAAGAGCACACTCAGTAAAATACAACTCAGAGACAAAGAAAGTACCAGAAAGTGAAGAGTTAGACAAAACACTTCCATATCACATGCATTTCTATTGTTTAACTCACCTCTTCAATCACTTTCCCCTGAGGCATCTTAACTAGTGGCACTGCCTCACTATATTAATATTCATACTCAAGGAATGTCTCCTTAGTCTTCCCATTGTGTGAATGACAGTCAAGTTTGAAAAGAGAGAAAGCAAGAGTAAGAGCAAGAGCAAAAGAGCACAAAAATGAAGAAAGGAATAACTAGGATTTAATCATTACAACAAATAGTACACATTTTAAACAGTTCATTTATGAAACATCCCCAAAATCCACCAACAGGATGTTAAATATAAACACATGGGCCCCTCTCCACATTTTTAGAAAAATAGTCAAATCTAAAGTTTGACTCATGATCATATAACAATTATTCATGTGTGTGTATATATGTGTGTGTGTGTGTGTGTTGGTGTAAACAGTTTATTAGATGGTAAACACCCAGGGGTGACAATCCTTTCTCACTCATTATTGAATCTCCCATAGCTCTGGTCATAATGATTTGCCCATTGTTAACTCTCAATACTTGTATGCTGAATTGAGTCTATTCCAGATGAATACGGAATTCTAGCTGTTTGTTTCAGGGAAATGTAGTTAGCAGTTCATGCATGATTCTGATTACACATGTATTATGAAGGACCCTGTGCTTCAGTTATATGTTCCAGACAAGGAGGAAAATAAAGAAAAACAAAGGTATGCTACATGGTTGAATTAGTGTCAAATGAAATTCAAATTCAAATAAAGTCTTAGAAATACAAACATTTAGTTTTCTGCTAGCCACCATCAGAGTTAAACAATGCATGCAATCTTAATGAAAATAATGGTAGCTACATGATTAATGGAATCAGAGTTATTAATGATTCTTGCTTGTTTGGGATATTAGACTTTTAGAGTTGGCTTATGATGTAAATGCATACAAATGCATAGTATTCATTACTGTCTTCATGATATTTATTGTACTATTAATTAGGTTGAAACTGAAGTTATTTAAAAGTAACTTCAAAACCCTCGAAAATATTATAAATAATATTTATCAATTAGCCATTTTATATCACCTTCTATACGTAACATACTGGGTTAGGTGCTGGGGCTTTAACATAAATGTAAAAGAAGTATGATATAGCTCAGATACTTTTCCCCTACAAATCTCATGTTGAAATTTGATCCCCAGTGTTGGAGGTGGGACCTAGTGAGAGGTGTTTGGGTCATGGAGGTGCATTTCTCATGAAAAGCTGCCGCTGTCCTCATGATAAGGAGTGAGTTCTCTCTCTATTAGCTCCAACAAGAACCAATTGTTAAAAAGAGCCTGGTGCCTCCCTTCCCTCCATCTCTTGCTTCCAACTTCTTGCCATGTGATGCCAGCTCCCCTTTGCCTTCTGCCACGAGTGGAAGCTTACTGAGATCCTCACCAGAAGCAGATGCTGGTGCCATGCTTCTTGTGCAACCTGCAGAACCATGGGCCAAATAAACCTCCTTTCTTTATTAATTACTCAGTCACGTATATATATTTTTTATAGCCATGCAAAATGGACTAAGACAAAATAGTTCCTGCCTTTAATAAGTTTTTGTGTGGTTTGGAAAATGTACCAAAATAACAACAACAAAAACAAAAAAATCATAGTACAATTATGGCAAATATAATGAATGAGAAATCTCCATTAAGCCTCCAGCTTCTTTCACATGGATCCTTAAAAATATTATCAAGTAATTTTCAAAACACTAAAGACTGAATGATCTGCATATTGCTTTTGGTCTACATTGTTGTTGATGCTTGCTGACATGCAAAAAATAGTGAATGATATTGAAGCTCAATCTCTTATTAAGATCAATTTGCAATGTAAGACAGGTTGGTTATGAAGTCAGAGAGATAAATAACATTTTACCAGGAAACTTCCCGTGAGGCATAAGGAATTAAAGCTCAGAGAAGATGGCCACTAAACAAATGGTGTGTTTTATTTTCAGATAAAAAGTGCTGTAATTACAGTTATGCTTTAAATAGCTCCACATACCACATGCATGCATACATTTCCTATTTTCTGAACAGAATATCGTTCAGAAATAATGTACTTATTTCATCATCTTGCTGATCCATAAAGACATTGCAGATGTTTCAGTAAGCTAGAAAGTAAGGTACAATATTCAAGTACACCTCATTTACAAATTCTTACTTAGAGTAGTTTTTTTTTAACCTCATATCCATACAGCATAGCATTCTAAAATCATTTCCTACCAGTTTTCTATTTAGTAGACCATTTAACTCTTTCTTCAAAATAACAAAGTAATGAATAGACAAAGTGAAATAAATATTTGCCTTCTGTCCAGATGGGGAGGAAGTAGTGTGCTCCTAGCCCAAGAGACTTTGAGTTATAGATATTATTGTTATTGATAAGGTATGATGCATAGAGAAGGGTTGCGCACCTGTTGGTGACATTTGCCATGTTTTCCATTCAAGAGAAAGAGAGAAGTTTTTTAGAAGTTCCTAGCACAACAGTGGCATATACCAAAGAGCATACCAGATAAAATCAGAATATTTTCTGAACCATAGAAAAAAATATTAAATGCAGTCATAACTCTTTTGGGAAACAATTAGAAATTATGGGCTGCTCCTCTTCCTTAGGCACATGTAACTCATCAATATTTCTAAATAATATCCTTAGGAGCCAATCCCTTTCTAACAAAACATGGAAGTGCACCTATACTCCAACACAGCATGATGATAAAGGTATGCCATCTTGATTATTAATGAAGTCCTAACAGGAATTATCTAACTAGGAAACTAACATCCTATGTCCATCAATACTAGACTTTGCTGCTTTTCTTCTATGTCTTTGTGTTTCCTCATAGTGCATGATCTGTAGCCAATTTAAACATGGCATCTGACTACTATCAATTGAATTGCATTTATTGAAGACTCATTTTATACAATTACAGGATGAAACCTTTGAGGAAATAATAAAGGATCTCAGATAATTTAATCTACTCAAGAGAAAGTCTGCTCTTAAAATGTTGTCAATTTGTTTTGTCCTATTTATGTATACATAATTTACCATTTACTTCTAAAGATATATAAAATATTAAGAAATTTTTGGTAACTGTTGATGAAAGAAAGATGTTGCTATTAGAAGAAGGCATTCGTTTGGGTGGTGTCTGGCCTCACAAAATAGAAATACCCTCAGGACATTCTATCAACTCACTTTGCTAAAGTGTTGTCTTTGGTACACAAGGGCTACCCAGAAAGTATCCAGCCATGGTTAACATAACGAGAACATAGTACATGGTAGGATACTTTCCGGACAGCCCTCTTATACCTGATGATCATATCTGTGAATACACTGATCCCAGTTAAATCATTCTATATAAATTGACCTCCAAATTGTAACAGCCTCAATCTGATTACTTACAGTTCACATTTAGAAGGCCTCCTCTGTATCCCCACAGCATCTAGAATGGTGCCTTACTCAGAGCAGTAGGCCATAAGAAGCATCTGTTGAACAATATCTCATTTTCCCTGAAAATGAAAGTAAAAATCGTGATCTCCCGGGTACTAGATCTTCAACCAAGAAGCAGATTGGGACATCATCTTCAAAGTAGAGATTGTTACCAATCATGTTTTTTTTTTTCTTTATTTTTCTTAGGATGCTCACCATAGACTCTTATTTGGCTCAGTTTCTCTGAAAGATTTGTGATCATTGAGGGATAATTCAGGAAACAATTTAATTTCTAATATTCTTCAGTAGCTCCCTTGCCTTCTTCCACAATAGTAAGAGTCCAAGGAAATTTCTCTTTGGCATTTAAAATGGTCTACATCTGTCAGTGATGTGAACGTTGTAAAGGTTTGGGACATAAATGATTTATTCCTGTTGCATTCTCTGTAATGGTGAGAACTTGTCATCAATAGATCTGAAGTGAAGACTACAAGTGGTGGCTGGGAGGGCTGTTTTCTGTGAGGGTGTATATTTGCTTTTTTTTTTTTACTTGAGTTGCATGAAAGATGTAGTTTGCTATCTAAGTGCTACGTGAGCTCAAACTCTCTAAGAGCTTCGCCTATACTAGGGATCTCAATAAAACTCATATGCTGCAAGACACTAAAAAATTTCCGGAGAATATATTTTTTAAAGCCTATGTCAACACGTATCAATTAAAATCAGAATGCTTTTGTCTTTACTATTTTATTCTCCTGTTTCACAACCATAAAGATTGACTTACTAGAAATAAAAATATAGACACCTAAGAGAAGACTCAGAACCTTACCCAGTAAGAAGATGTTGGGAATAAAATCTAGGACCCTGCAATCTCCATCTATGGGGATGAGGTTAGATTTGGCATTTGAATATTGCAATATTAGATATGATTCTTCTTTTTGGACAAGGGAAAACATATTTTCATAAATAACCTTGGGATTGTGGTGGAGGTTGGGTATTTTAGACTGTTTTGTGCTGCTGTGCCAGAAGACCACAGACTGGGTAATTTATAAAGAACAGAAATTTATTTTCTCACACTTCTGGAGGCTTGGAAAGTCCAAGATCAAAACTCCTTTTTAATGTCTTGTGAGGATCCTCTTGCTGTGTCATCTCATGGTAGAAGGTGAGAAGGTAAGAGAGGGCACAATAGGAAAAAATAATTTATGTCCAAAAGTTTCATACCCTTCTCATCACTGAAAGAAAGAAAGACAGAACAGGGTACTGAACTCATCCTATAAAAGCAACCCACTCTCAGGATAATGGCATTAATACATTCATGAGAACAGGGGTCTCATGGCCTAATCACCTCTTAAAGATCCTACCTCTAAATAACCTTAACACTGGTATCCCCATAATACACTAAAATAAAAATAAAAAATTAATAAAGAAGATTAACTAAAAAAAATCCTACCTCTTAATAGTATTACAATGGCAATTAAATTTTAACATGTTTTGGAGAGGGCAAACATTCAAATCATAGCCATGGGTTTTCTTCATCTTCCTTCTTTGCCCACAAAATGACAGGCCTTATCTCATTTTATTAGAAATACAATCCCACGGGAGTAATCTCAAAGGAGTCCATATTCATGCTGCAAATACCATGTCAAGTGTTGCCACATCCCTCCTCTTACTTGTGGCGTGGGGATGGCGTTCTAAGCTGTGTCTCTGGCACTGTTGCATACCTGTGCTCAGGTCCTGATGATGCTGAACCAATGAATAACCTCCATGAAGAGAGTAACCAAAGACATTCTCCTTCATCACAAGTGGCAGAAGGGATCAAAATCTTAAAATTTGCATTTTTGGTTCAGTAACTAAAATGAAATAATTTGGTCTGTAGGCCAAATTCCAGCAAAGGCCTTAGCAGGGTGTCTTGTGATAAATGAACAGAGTTACAACCCCCACACTCTTCATACCCTGCCATGCTTTCTTATCCACCAGCCGTCACTATTAAGGGACACCTGTTTATAAGTATTGCTTTCTCATTTGTCAAACTTGAGGGACAAGACAAACTCATGCCATCAGTCACCTGTCTTCCTTACCCTCTAAACACAGCCGAGGGCCCAAATGGCTTAGTTAGGCAGTTTTGCTTGTGCTGCATCCATTAAGCAGCCACTCACCTATAATATCAGAGCTCTAGACCTTGATTGTCCAAAATTCCCTGCTACATACTACTATCTTTTGTAATGAACTGCTCACTTTAGCTTATAGTGACACAAACTGCATTCACATATGTTTCTCTGCTAATATATAATAAGCTCTGGCCCCAAAGAATTGCTGATATAATAGGTTTATGAAATGGAATGGAATGAATAGCTGCATAGCAACCCGAGAGGTCTAATAAAAACATCAACAAACTGAGGACCATTAGAACAGGGTTCTACCTCCAAATAAGCTTTGTCAAGAGAGGTAGAATGGCTAATAAAACCAGCTAAGACTTATAACATACCAGACATTGTGCTAAGCACTTTTAACACAATATTCCAATTAATACTTACAATAGACCAAAGAGGTAAATCTATTGTCATCCCCATTCTATAAATGAAAAACCTGAACCTTGGTAAAGTCAAATAGTATGCCCAAAGCCACATGCTTTGCAAGTAGCAAACTTTGCTAGGACTTCAGTGTTGGTCTCTTTGACTCTGAAATCACCATGCCTGTAAATTCTTGACTTCACTGCTTTTCTTCTTCTGTTTCTTTGGGTTTTCTCACAGTACATGACCTGGAGCAAATTCAAATCTTACATTCAATTACTATCAATTGAATTTAATTTATTGAACCCTCATTACAAACAATTGCAATGAACCCTATGAAAAAATGATAAAGGATCTGGTATAATTTCTTTCAATTACTGAAGCAAAGTGGTCCTCTTAAGGAGTTCTCATGTTTGTTTTGTCCTGTTTATACATTCATAATTTCTCATTTACTTCCAAAGAAATGTAACAGATATGTAACATTTTGGTAACTTCTTCCTCATCCTTAGATAGTTTTATGTGAATGGTCTTCAAATAAATATAGGTTTAATGCCTAGCTATTCTCCATTTCCGTTGCTGAGAGAACAAAAAGAAATAGGCTTAAAACTATGCTATGACATATTTAGGTTATATATAACAAAGGGTTTTCTAAAAGTGGAGTAATGAGAAACCAATTGATGAACTGAGGGTGATGATGCAGTAGGTCTTTAACTGCAGGAATGATCCTTATGAGAGCCATGTAATCCAGCAAAATGTGGGCATGGGCAATATGGTGTTAAAGATCTCTGTTGACTTCCTGGTCTTAGATCCTATGTATGTCCACATGACTCAGGTAGGACTTGAAGAAAATAACTTGATTAAAAAAAAAAAAAAGAAAACAACTTGATAATTCACCAATATTTATAGCATACTTATATTGTACAGCATGTGTTAAGCAAAAGGTAAACCATGGTGTGCAAGGTAGACACAGTTCCTGCTCTCACAAAGTTTATAATATGGGGGGGTGTATTTGGGCAAAAATGACATCTTTACATATAATTTGAGATAAGTGAAGGGAAAATTCTATTTTAAAAAATCTTAAGTTATGTAATAGTCAACTAAGTCTTCACAATATTTCTCAATTATAGCCAGAATAAATTAAGCTCTTCATGACTGGACAATAATATCTATCTAATAAAGGGGCTTCTGTGCCAGTTCAGAAGAAACTTCAGCATCACATATTGTGGTATCAAACATCACATAACTAGTGTTTGGCAATCTCTTCAGTTCTGATTTTATAAATGTGAAATTTCTACACATATATAATGATACGTGTGGAAAGGGAATAGTCCACATCAAAGTAAACTTGCCCCCTGGCATATTTTTGCAAGGCAAAGACTTATTGCATGCGAGCATATCATTTCAAAAGGCTGCCTTCTATATAATGCAATCAATATTATTTAATTAAAGGATGATACTATTGATTCTAATTAACCAAAATTGCTTACCTCATTAGTTTGCAGTTCATATGTGTTCTCAGAGACAGGATAATTTAGTGATTGTACTCCTATTCCCAGTATATGGGTTAGAGATGCCTATTTAAAAAATGCTAACTCTGGCACTCTGGTTTTGAGTTGTCTTTGTGCTTGTGATGAATGAACCATTCTGTGTGTATAAACATAATCTTAAAATAATACATTAGGTAAGCATGCATCCTAAATGTGCAAACAAGGGATTTTGGAAAATTGGATTATTAAAGGCTGGAATCATTTTATTACTAAAATATTGGTGCCGCCATCAATGCTGGACTCTAATATATTTTTGAATGGATATTTTTCATTTTAAATGATCTGTCAAAGCCCTGTATATAGTTTGTGGCCTGATATTTGTTAAGTATGGGATCTTAGAAGTATATTGGATGTAATCTGTCTATTGCAGGGGTCATGTATAGGAATATGTTTAGGTAATAAAACACATGGGTCTTGTTTTTTTTTAATCAGTCAGGTAAGGGCTGATGGTTATGGTTAAGTGCTGGTAATAAAAGGAAATGCAGTATTTCTATTGATCATTTGAAGGTCATGTTCAAAAGTCCTTCCTGAGGTGGTAGAAATGTGGGAATTAAAGCAAAGGAAGTATTAATGTGAGCCGAATCTCTACTTTCTACCAGGAATGATAATTAGAGCTTTGTGATCATAATCTCATTTAATCTGCACAAAATTCAGGGACATAAATTGCAATTAGCTCTATCTTGTATATATAAAAACAGAGCTTCAGATTTGGAGCTTAAGCAGGTTGTCCAAAATTGTATGGATATTAAATTGTGATTTGAAACCGTATCTCATTGACTATAGACAACACTTTTCCTTTCTCTTTTAGGACACTGGCATTGAAAACAAGCTTAAAAGCAAAGTGTACAGTATTTCTGCATCTGGCCAAGAAAGGGAAAAGCAATTGGCACTAAAAATATTCTTGTCCATGAAAATACACTTAAGACATTTTAACTAAAGTATGGAAACAGATAGGAATGCCTACTCGTATTGCAAATAAGAGCAAACATTTAGCTATATTGCTAAGCACTTTTAAAAATGTTTTATGTA